TTTTTTTTTTTTTTTTAATATTAAGTAGGAACAGATTTGATTCACATCTCTGTGGCTCCTTGTTATGAACTTTGCACTTTACGGGCTGTAGCACTCAGAGGTGTCTCAAGGCTTAGAGGATAGAACTTTATGTATTCAACAGCAGCAGCATTGTTAACTTGTTTGTAGAACTTGTATACCACTTATGATGGTATCAAACAGGGTTTCCTTTAACTTGTTACTGATTTTTGTGTTGACTGTATCTTGGATTAAGTAAATATATGATATATAATAGCTCAAAATATTGAAAATACTAAAAATATAAAGCATTATTTTTAGTTAGCTATGTGAGATTCTATTTCCAAATAGAATTTTTCTTACCCATAATCTACTAGTTTCAATGTAATAAATTAGAAGGCTAGAGAGTAGAGAGAATACTTAATGACTAGAAACAGTAACTGACTTAGTAAAGATAAATGAGTCAGAGGCTCGTTCCATAACAGACTGGATTGAGAAGAAGGTTTCTAGTGGATTCTGGAGAGGCTTATGGTTGTAAGTTACAGAATTACCATGTAGAGTAGAAAGAGTCCTAGAGCAGAAATACTGGGGATTTGGTCCCAGTTCTGCCATTTCTTAATTATTTGAGCTTGGCCAAATCACTAGTGTAGGACTCAATTTCCTTATCTTAAGATAGAGTTTATAATAATCTTCCATATGATAACCCATCAGATGGTGAAAATGAAATGAAGTTTCTTTAGATCATTTTGCACCTAATAAAGATCAATATAAATGTAAAGTGGGACCTTTAATGTTCAAGATAGCCCATCTTGAATGGCTCAGGTTGGGCCTAATAAGACAGTAGTATTACCATGCTTTTATATATTTTCAGAAGCTTTGAGATAAAGTTATGGTTATTTAGAAAAACCAGCTTGTGTGTGTTATATACATACAAATATACACACATACCCACTTTTTTCTCTATGCCTTGTTTTAATTTTTTTATAGGATACATGTATTGCTTCATTAATCAGATAGGCCAATAAATATTTTTATTTTGAAAGAAAATGCTGAAATTATGCCAAGTTCTGCTTTTGTAGAAAATTTCCTGCCACTTTTATTTAGATTTTATTTTCTTTCTGTAATCTTGATTGTAATTTTATCAGTTTGAAATCACTTTAGAGTGAATTGGTTAGGATGAATTCCAAAACCAAATAGAAAAGAAAAGCAATTTGATTGCAACTCAAAGTATAACCCAGACCTAAGAACATGATAATTTTGAGGGAGGATATCTAATAAAGGAGAGAAAAGGTAGAATATTCTTCCTGGAGCTAGAATAGTTATTCATCTCTAGAAAAGAGTCTTTAAAGGCTCTGAACTGAAACTTGGATCTTGAATTGTGTTTCTCTCAGCAATTACCAGTAATAATGAGTAACAGTGTATCCCTATATCATTACTTTTGTGTAATGTCATACAAGTTACTTTCTGCATTTATTGTGTTTTCTGTGGACTGGATGCCTCTGGAAGTCTAGTGTTATTTTTGTATTGGTTTTATGTCCCTTCAGGAGCTAACACATGCTTTGTGTGTCCTTGATGCACACTGAAGTTCTTCTTGAACTGCTCTAATACAGAGTACCACCAGACTTATGTAGCCAGACAGACTGTGTAGAACAGAATAATGGTTATCAATGATTACTAATATTGATTATGGAACTACATTGTATAGATTCTGTTCCCTCCAAATCAAATGCATACATTTTACACAGTAGACACAGAATTTTAGTCATGTAAGACAATACAGAAATTGGGAGTGTTTTACATGAGAGAGGGAGGGAGAGAGAGAGAGAGAGCAAGAGCAAGAGCAAGAGCGAGCGCGAGCGCGAGCGCGAGCAAGCGAGTGAAACAGTAAAGGGAAGTACCCTAGATTGAGCCAGATTTAGGTTTGAACTGTGTCTCTACCATTTATAACTGGGTAGTAACCTTGAACATTTTTTCTGCTGTTAAAAAGGATAGCAACACCTACTGTATGATGTTTTAATAAACTAAGAGGTTGTGAAGATTAAACGTTAAGCACATAGTACACTGGAGGGCAGAGTTGACATTCCCAAAATGTTAGTCTTGTATTAGTTAATTTTTTTCCTTCATTGTTTTGACTCTACAGAGAGTCAAATAAGACATCTAGGAGAAAATTAAAGTTATACAGAAAAATGATTTACTATTTACAGTTTGAAAAGCTAACTGCTTTTATTAAAAAAAAAAAAGATTAATTACATTATTATGATACAGTACCAAAGAGAGCAGCTTGTTTAACTGAGTACCAACCATTCGAAAATGATCTAACACCAAAATCTGCTTCTACTTCAAGCAGCTTCAAAACATAAAACTGAGATGAGCAGGCCTCCTGTTGTTTTTCTGATTTGTAACAGTAGAAGCCTGTTCACCTGCTGTGAGTATTTGATTTGTGCTGCTACACATCTTTAAGTGTGCTGGGAAGGCATTTTGTATTGTGCAATATTTTAAACTTTCGTATAAACTCATATAGAGTCTTTGTTTAATATTGGAACTTTGTTTACTATCATTGAAAGATGTTTTGGTCATTTATAATGTATAAATTTATTTCCAATCTAAATAAAATTTTCAGGTTAATAATATAAAATATGAACTTTAGCTAATAATGTGTCAGCATTGGTCCAACAGTTTTAACAAGTGGATTGCAAGGTGTTAATAGAAATAATGTGCAGTGGAAGGGATCTATGTAAAAATTTTCTATAAACCTAAAACTGCTATAAAAAATAAAAACTATGTAAAAATAGTAAAGGTTAACTTAGTTTTTAAGCTTATCAGAACATCCAGATCTGATGGCTGTCAAGTCTTTCATTATCTGCTGTCACTCATGTTAGACATGATGTCACACCCTGGCCTGCCCATCTACTTACTACAGACTCTAGAGGGTAAACTCAAGTTCAGGCTCTATTCCTGTTTAACAGAGGCCAAATGATGAAAATGCAAAGGAAGGTATTTTAAGAGCAAAAGTCTTATGCGTTTATAGATTGAAGGAAGGAATTAGAGAAGTTGAAGATGTAAGAGAAACAGTAGATCAAAGCATTGAACTTTTAAAACAAATATCAAAAGGTATGTAGTTTGCTTATATAATCTGGGTCCGTTCTTTATTGTATGTTAAACCTTTGTAAATATTAAGGCATGTTTTGGGGTTATTCTTGTGACCAGACTTGTATTTTCAAATGATCTATGGAGATGCATCATAGGAAAAATTGAAGTCAAGGAGACCAGTTAAGAAATTGTTTAAGCCCTCCCACCTCTCCCAAAAAATGATAAAGAATTGAATGTTATAGTGGGAATCAAGAGGAGGCCAAAATCATGAGTTATTTAGGAAACAGAATCAATGTGGTTTGGAAACTAATAATTATGTTGTGATGTAGAATGACTCTGGTTTCTAACTTGGTGACTAAATGAATTGTGGAGTTTTTAAACCAAGAGAAAGGTTCACTGGGAAAATGACAAATTAAGGTTTTGATACATTGCTTTTATGTTACCTGAGGGACCTCAAACTGGAGGTTTCTAATTGAATATCTGTGCTTAATACTCAGGCAAAACATTTAGTCTTGCAAGGTAGTTGAAATTACTGGGAGGATAGTTATAATGAGAAGAGAGCAATACTACAAGTAGAATTTTGAGGAGTATAAACATTGAAAGGGCAAGAGAAAAAATAAGACTCTTGAAAGGAGGCTTAGGAAAAACATTTAAATAGACAAGAGCAAAACCAAGAAATGGTGGTGTTATGGAAGCTAGAGGGAGATGTGGTGGGGTAGTGCTTGAAGTCATTTGACTGGCAACCAGAAGGCTAGAGGTTCAAACCCACCAGCCACTGGGCAGTCTACTTTCGTAGAGATAACACTTCGGAAACCCAAGGAGGGGTCACTATGAGTCGGAATTGACTCGACAGCAGTGTGTTTGGTTTTTGGGTTAGAGGGAGGTAAAAGTTTCAAGAAAGGTAATTAATTCCAATTGTTGTTGTAATCCTATATGACAGAGTAGAATTGCCCCATAGAATTTGCTAGGCTGTGATCTTTGTAGGAGCAGATTGCCAGATCTTTTCTGTAGTGGAGCCACTGATGGGTTTGAATGGTCAACCTTTCAGTTAGCAAGCAGTTGAGCACTTAACCGTTGTGCCTCAAGGGCTCCTGTAAGTACTATAATAGAACAGGTAAAATAATCACAAGCACTACGGTTTAGACCGAAGCACAGTTTCATATTAAGACCTTATATTTTATAGAGTAGGAGAAAGATTAATTCATACTGTTTATCCTTTTTCATTATGAGTGTAGATATTTGGAACTGAAACTTTATGGTATTACAATTTAAAAGATAATTGTTATCTCTAGTTAGATGTTACTCTTTATCACAGAAGTACAAACTCCATATTAGTAAAACAATATGAAATTACACAGTTGTTTTTAAATGAATATATTTAAATATGTTTATAAATATTTAAATTAATTTTATTTTTCCTGTTTATTTTTTAAGAGTTCCTGTCTTTTGGCAGTATCAATTGGTTGGGAAGGAGGTGTTTATGTACAAACCTGTGGCCATACATTACATATAGATTGTCATAAATCTTACATGGAATCATTACGGGTAAGTTGATTGGAAAAAATTTTTAGAGATTTATGTATTTTTCCAGGTATTAAAATCTTTTTTGCAGCTTATATACCTCAACTCTAGTTCATCATCTTAGGTGATTTTGATGGCTGTTTGAATTTGAGCTATTTGACCAACAGCAGCCTTACATTACAGTTCCTTGACGTCTTCAGGGATTTACTTATTTATTTTTTTAACTTCACTTGAGTAACTTACTTCCATGGCCTTTAGTATTCTCTTCTACTCCAGCTCTGAAATATTAAGCTTTAACACCCTACTGTATCATCTTATATGACTACCTTTCAAATTCTCTTATTTTCACTGTCATTTGTGTCTTGCTTCTGATTTCATTGAGATCTCTGGTTCTTTGCTTCTGCCTTTTTTTCTGGTACATTTGCATGCTTTATTCTTCTACTAACAGTCATTTAACCTGCCTCCTTTGATCTTGGATTCAGACTTCTAGCCCTGCCAGAGAAAATCACACAGCTATATAAGCTGGTACCACCACAAACTAATGGTTTCCAGTAACATTGGCTTAAATGAGGGGCATGGATTATAAATTCATTTATCTGTCTTTGATCAGTTTCCTCTCCTGTTGCCCTTAGCAGCTATTCTAAAACTTTGGTTCCTTAGGACCAGATTCTTTGCCTAAACTGCAGGATCCCTTTCCTCTCACTAGATTCTCTCTTTTCCTGTGTAACTAAAAAAAAAAAATGGTCTCTGTTACACATTCCATTAGTTTCCTAACTTGTGTTTCTGTTCCTCGATAAATGACTGCATTCCTACCAATCCTTTCTTCTTCTACTCTTTGAGGAATATCCTTTCCTGTGTTCAGGGATAATCTTTCTGTTGTGCTCTAGCATTCCTTTCTCCCTAACGCTGCAGGGGCCTGAATCCATCAATAGTCCTTTTGGTTATGTATCTTCAATTTTTCTACCTCTTCTCTCATTTCTTCTCAACTTATGAAGATGCTAAAGTCTCCCATTTAACATTCCTTTTCTTGACCCTATATTCCCTTTCCGCTTCAGTCTTCTCTTTCTCCTTTCATTCTCAGCTCAGTTTCTTTTTTTTTTTTTT